GCGAAGAGACAATTGTAAAGCTAAACACTAACCTAAAAAAAAAGTGTCAGTGTTAGAGCCAATTGTAAAGTAAAGTATGTTCGAAACCAAGGCACTAGCGAAAGAGACAATTGTAAAGGCAAACAATAACCCAAAAAGAAGACACCGGCAAAAGAGACAATTGTAGAGCCTAACACCAACCAGAAACAAAGACACCAACGAAAGAAACAATTATAAAGCTATAAACACTGACTCAAAATGAAGATACTGGCGAAGAGACAATTGTAGAGCTTAACATCAACTCAAGATGAAGACAACAGTGAAAAGGACAGTTGTAGAGCCTAACACCAACCCAAAAAAAAAAATACTGATCTGAAATTAGTAAAAGCACAACTATATATAAAAAAAAAAAAAACAATAATTAAAAAAAAATACAGTAATTGCATTTAATTAAATAAAAAAAAATTATTTATACTTTGCAAAATTGGGTAACTTCTATCACTACGTATAATTATTTTTTATAAACAAATAATTATAATTGCTATAGCTGGTCAACTATCATAAATCTGAGTTCAGATTTATGATAAGTTGCCCGATTTTAGCAATGACAATTATTTGTTCATAAAAAATAAACATAGTAATAGAAGTTACCCAATTTTGTAAAGCATAAATAATTTTTTTTTTATTAATTAAATGCAATTACTGTATTTTTTTTAATTAGGCCACTCCAAATTGATTCTTCGTTTAACATAGCATTAAATAATTTATAGAAGTGGGGGGGAGGGGACAAAAAAAACACAAAAATAATAATACTGTAATTTTATTGGTTGATTTAACATGTGTTGGTTATATAAAATTTAAAAAATTGAGGGGGGTAAATACTATTAATTACTATTAATGTGTATTGGGTTCATATAAATTTTGAAAAATAGGGAGGAGGGGGTTATGTTAAACGAAGAATTAAATTGGTCTGGCCTTAATGTACTTTGCACTATTTATGATGAAATGTATGAGAAAATTTATCAGAAATGATTTAGAAAATAGTCCTTTTAAAATACAGATAATAATCAAATTATAGAAGATTTAGATAATGAAGATGAATTAAATTATTTTATTCAAGAGAAGATGAAGATTATGATCCAAATGAAATAGCACAAAATCATTTTGATGATATAATATTAACCAATTATTTGGTTGGTTTTGGTTTTACATTAAACAAAACAAACAGCGGTTGAGTTAGAGTTAGTTTAGGATTTGGTCAGGGCAATAGCTAGAAAACCCCCTAACCCAAAATTTAAACAGTTTAAGTTAGAAGCAATTTTAAAAAAGACGGATTTGATTTTCACGTTACACCTGATCCTGCATCTTGATTGGTCAAAGGTTTCGGATTATAGTTCGGGCTTCGGAATTAGACCTATCCGAAACAGTTTCGGGTCCCAACTCTGATTTTGGGGTATTATGGCGCACTATTGGGGCTTTCGATATACTAATTAATCAAATCTATATTAGGTATTGTAATAAAAACCAATAGTGCAGATTTTATGCATAGATCGGCAAAATCGAAAACTTATTAGCGAAGACAAACTATTTTTTTCTAACAAATTATGCATAAACCGATTAGTTTAATGTAATTAAACAAAGTTGCAGTTATTTTTCATTTTTTATTATGAATTCAATTTATTTTTTTTGGATTACAAAAAGTTCTTAATAATTTAATTAAAAATTAATGCATCGGTCCGGTCCGGTCCGGTCCCGGTCCTAATGAGACGTTACCAATAGGATTTTCGATCCCGGTCCGGTCCGTCCTCGGTCCCCAAACGGTCTCTTAATGACTTATTGGTCAAAAAGACGTCAAATGTATGATTGGTGAATACAAATATCATGGTTTGTTTACAAGGACCGGGACCGGTCCTTTCAACGGTCCCTCGGTCCGGACCGGTCTTTTTAAGCATCCCTAGACTGTAACTTTGTTTTATTATATTAAACTAATCGTTTGATGCATAATTTGCTATATAGAAAAAAAATAGTTGATACGTACCTAGTAAATTATCGATTTTGCCGATTTATGCATAAAATCTCATATTGTATTGCTGCATCCTCCTTCCGGAAATTACCCAAATGAGGAAATATATAGTGAAAATTAAAAGAAACCTAATACTGGCATAAGTAATATCGACTTTTACTTATATATTGTGGTTTAACAACTAGAGCCAAAAAAATGTTTATCTTATTTGATTCGCCTCAGTAAATGGTACCAGCATATTATCAAAAAATACTAGTGCGTCAAATTACCCACCCGCGTCATAATACCCTATTTTACCTTAGATTCATTATTTTGTAACATATTTGATTTAGTATCTTTCGTAGGAATATAATTTACACATTCATCATGTTGTGTATTATTAAATTATGTTTCTTTTTTTGGCCCTATGAGTAAGAAGAAATTTTAAAGCTGCACCAGATTCAATCTTACAAGAATTATTACATGATTCTAGAAATTGATTTTTTGAAAGAATCATGAAATTTCAAAGTAAAAGCATAAGGAACTTTAGTATAATTTTTTTTGTTGGAAATATGTTTTTTTCACAGTACAATAAGTTTTAGATGTATAAAAAAGACACTTTGTGCATCCAATGTTCCGGAATAATAATTTTTGGCCATTTTTTTAAAATCAAATGTATACCAATACTAAATAAATATATATATGTACAAGTCTTTATATATTATAATATCAAATGATATACATATGTCATCAGGTCATTAGAAGTAATAATAAAGAAGTCAGGAATCAGAAATCATCGATTTCTTTTTTTTTTTTTTTTTTTTTTTTTTTTTTGATCTGCAAATTTCACATAATTTTGCAAACCGCAATAACTCTTTTAATCGGTTAGTTGGTATCTAAAAAGGTCAATCGTTTTTCAACTTTCGATTTGTAACACTACTGTACAATTTATCAATCATCCGTTCATACGTACGGATACGGATTTGATTTGTGCAATCCGTATTATACGAATTGAACGGATCGCACCACTAACTTGTATCCTTTTATTTTATTTTTATTTAATTTTTATTTAGACTTTTTTTTGATGAATATATTTACACTTATAAAACAAAATATTTTAGAAACTATAGTTTAATTACAAATGCGGACTAATAAGTTTTGCTCATAATGTTATGTTTCATCATCATAATTTCTCGATTTCAAAATCACATAGAATATTCCAACCAAAATCAAACCAATAAATCCCCAAATACTTGCTTTACGACACCGATTTCTCCATTTGTAATCATCCGGAGTAGCATCCGATGTAGGTCGAGGCAAGTAAAATGATCCAATCCACCATGTTGGCATTATTAACCATCCTATCCAAAACATATATTTGGCTATTACGACGGTCGAAGTGCCATTTACTGAATACTCCAAATTATTTTTTTTAATTGAAACATATGAATTAATATCATAGGTTTCATTACCTTTAGATTTATTGGAGAAAAATGGTTTTATTTCCTGTTGTTGAATATGAACCGATTTGGAAACTTGTTCTTGATATTGAGTATAAGAAAGTGATGTATTAGCTCCAATTTCTGCAAGTACTTCATATACGTTATATGATCGAGTATTTGAAGAAAATGGTTGATGTAAGGTTGAACCAATATTAAGATGATATGAAGTATCTGTTAAACTTTCAATACCAATGTCAACAGGAGAAGTTGTATTACGTTGAGGATTGAAATATGTATCATTTATATTCAATATTACTTCTTTGCCTTTCCCTTTGAAAGAATTATCAATTTCGCCAAAGGATTCTCCATACTCTGGATGTGTAGGTGGGACAGAGGATGTTGACTCAGAATATACTGAAATGTCAGTGTCGTTACTATCGGATGCTGAAGAAGATCGGCTACCGGAAGCCGTCGACATTGAGGTAATTTGACCTTTCTCGACATGTGATATATGTGATATAGGTGGAAATGATTTAGAAATCTGATTACTTTGATTTGAGAAGGCAGCAGGGTTTATTAATTGTAATGCTGGAACTTTGTCGATCCTATTATTATCTTTATGTATATCGAATTTGTTGATGGTAGTCGAGATATTGTTGTTATCATCATTGGTTGACATTTTGGCAAGTATGCTTTTTCAAGAATAATCTAGTTGTCTCCAGGACAAGTTGATTTTTCTTTTTCGCTTGCCTTATCAGTTTTTTTTGTTCAAATGTTGTGCCAACAATTGAACTATAACGAGATTATGTTCGTTTTTATATTTTTTTGATCTAACCTGAAACAATGAATGATCCACATGCAGGTGAGGTTTGAAGGCTAAGTTACTAATTATGCAGACCGAAGTTGGTGGACTACAATGAGTATGTTTTCAGTTAAGAAGTTTACCGTAAACATTACGATATATATGCACAATTGAAAGTTAACATTACCGCATTTTCCTATATTAAATCTTTATCAATTATGAATAATTACGTAATTGATTTAAAACCTATTTTTATACCACAGGGCTTTTTTAATTCGCTTTTTATATTCTCGTGATAAAATTTACAACACTCGATGAATATTTGTTAAAATCAGATGAAATAGAGAGATTTACAATAGAGAATGATGGGAAATTATTTCAATAGACAAGACACTATAATGAACAGAATTACAAGATACGAGAATTTACGTAGATTTGTCGTAAAATGTAAACACTTGATTGGTAAATGTCATATATGTATGTATATGTGTGTACTGTATGTGTATGTACTAAAGCCGAAATTTCTAGGTCAATGTATTATTAATCACACAAATAAGCTTTTTTGAATTTTTTACTCTCATCTATTGAAATAGTTTATTTGTTAGACGATTTAGAATTTGCGGGGATAAAACAACTATCATTAGTATAGTTTCCATCATAATATTCAGACCTAAGCTAGTAAGATTAATTAATTTAAAAGCTGATATGACGAAAAAAGTCGTTCATACTTTAGATTGAATATTTTTAAATGTCGTTAAAGCATTTACACTGCAAATCTATCATGTGATTTTTAGATGTTCGAAATAATTTTTTTAGACAAATAGTCTAACAAATTTCATCATCTGCTAGTTTATTAAGTTTATTAAAAAAAAAACATAGATCAATTTGATTTTGATTTGACGTGACGTGTTACGTGTCAACTTTTTCGAAATGCGATATCAAAAAGATATGATCAAGTTTTATAAATCAACGATGAAATGATGAGAAATAGATATCAATTATATAAAGATATTTTTTTTAATGAAAGAAAATCTATATTTTATAAAAGTGATCTATTTTTTTTTTTCTTGCAAATGAGTAAAGAAAACCACATTGATAAAGTCCTACCCAGCAACATTATACTAAGCGTTTAACTAGATTTGATAGTGGTAGATGCAATTACATGTTGCTTGCAACAAACGATAAACTTTTTCCCCACAAATGAATCAAGTGAACTATGAATACTGAGGCGAATAGCTGGACTACCATACCCATTATCAACAATTTGTGAATGTTCCAGTGCTTCTGTGAATTCGTGTAAATTATTAAGATTGATTTTGCCGGCGGTTACGCTTAAATCTTTAGGCTTACAATGAAACAATTGAAACAATCCTAAAATGATCGTTTCTTCTCCATAACTGCTGAACGAGAAATGAAATTGGATTACTCCAGGTTTAAATACATCTGCTACAGCAACATTTGCGGGAACTTTTGGTCCTTCAGGAGCTTTTGGTTCTTTGCAGCATGCTCCTGGTTCTTCAGGTCCTCCGGGAGCTTTTGGTTCTTCAGGTGCTCCTGGTCCTCCGGGAGCTTTTGGTTCTTCGGGTGCTCCTGGTTCTTTAGGTCCTCCGGGAGCTTTTGGTTCTTCGGGTGCTCCTGGTTCTTTAGGTCCTCCGGGAGCTTTTGGTTCTTCAGGTGCTCCTGGTCCTCCGGGAGCTTTTGGTTCTTCGGGTGCTTCTGGTCCTCCGGGAGCTTTTGGTTCTTCAGGTGCCCCTGGTTCTTTAGGTCCTCCGGGAGCTTTTGGTCCTTCAGGTGCTCCTGGTTCTTCAGGTCCTCCGGGAGCTTTTGGTTCTTCAGGTACTCCTGGTTCTTTAGGTCCACCGGGAGCTTTTGGTTCTTCGGGTGCTCCTGGTTCTTCGGGTGGTTCTTTAGGTCCTCCGGGAGCTTTTGGTCCTTCGGGTGCTCCTGGTTCTTCGGGTGGTTCTTTAGGTCCTCCGGGAGCTTTTGGTCCTCCGGGAGCTTCTGGTCCTTCGGGAACTTTTGGTCCTTCAGGAGTTTTTGGTCCTTCAGGAGCTTTTGGTCCTTCAGGAGCTTCTGGTCCTTCAGGAGCTTCTGGTCCTTCGGGAGCTTCTGGTCCTTCGGGAGCTTTTGGTCCTTCGGGAGCTTTTGGTCCTTCAGGAATTTCTGGTCCTTCAGGTGCTTTTGGTCCGGAACCACCGTATGTCTTGGCGGTACCATATAGTTCAGATCCATCATGTGGTTTTAAGCTACAATGTGAACCGCATTGTTTGTCGCCACTGTATGAGATAGTACTCTCACCACCGCGTTTAGAATGTAAAATTGACAAAGGACTAGCGGAAACATTGGAAAGACTAAGGGCAATATAAAATAAACTAAGTGTGATTGAAGGTATTGATTTGTATTTAGTTAGCTTCATTTCAATTTTTTTTAATAAATTTAAAAGATAGAAACGAAATAATCGGTTTTCTTGATGGATTAATGAAATGCGTCTCAGGATGTTTTGTGTCCTTTTTATTCATGAAAAGCAATTAACAAAGATAGCCAGATCTTATTATCTTTTTTACAAGTTTACCCCTAAAAATTGATATCTTTACGAGCATTTCTTAATTTTACAATCTCCTTCGTAATAATTCATAAATTCGTTAAGACTTTGAAAATACGATGAATTTTCTATCTTATGATATCTTTAATATCATCTCTTTAATTTTATCTTTAATTTTATCACGCTCAGGCCTTTTACTATCCAAATTATGTTGATTCATCCATCAATTATAGATCGTCAATATATGTATAGTCATTTTCGCAGCCAATATCTCAATTCCTTAAAAAAAGTAATATATTTTTCATATCCGTAAAACTCACATCATTAATAAAGCATTTATTTAACGTTTTTAAAAATTTATGTCATTCTTTGCATATGAAAGAAAAATCAACCTTAAAGATGCATTTAATTAACCGCTTCTATAATTAAACTCTAATTTCCATGGGTCGATATTAATGATGATTTAGTGATGTTAAATGATATGTCCCTTAAGGAGCTTATTAAATACATCTGATTTTTGAATTGCAATCAATGTGATCTTTTAATACTGTCCTGATTTATCTCGTGGACTTTATTTCAGATGGACCCGAATTAACTATAATTGAAATATTCAACAATAATCAAATAATTAACATAGCTATAGCAACGATCCTATCAAGCAAAGCCCGAAGTAAAATTTCTCGGGTGCCATTTAAGTCTCTATTATAGAAATCCTGGTACAACTGATAAAAATTTACCATTAATTATTTGGCTAAATTCTATAAGTCTTGATTTCGATGTCATCAGTATTTTATATGACGCATGTTTTATTATTATCACTAGCTCTTAGGACACAGGCATTGCCCTGGAAGCATACTTGCTGGCAAAACCCGGACAAATTCCAAATTCCAAAAAAACAATTGCTATTTATAAAAGATAAATCAAACAAGTAATCTTAATATTTTGCAAATATATTATCTATAACTATGAGAATATATACTATTTGTTTAAACAAAAATTATTAATAAAGTTTTTGAGATATTAATTTGGAATAAATTTGGGTTTTGGCACGGACAAGTTCAAACTATAGTAATATTTAAACAATATTACAAGAATGTTAAAACTAAGCTAAAAAATATATATTTTCCAAATTGCTTATAGTACATATAAAATATTATTTAACATAATATTACACTTTTTAATTTTTAGAAAATAATAAATACTGAATTTTGCTAAATCTCACCGCATATAACTTTTTGCTAAAATTTAGGGTTAGGGTGCTCCTATAGGTTAAGGTTAGGGTTTGGTATATTAGCTTAAATTTTAGTTCGAGTAAGGTTTTCGGGTTCTTAACATTTTACTTAGAACCTCTAACACTAATATAGTGCTGCGGTGAGATTTAGCAATGCCTATAAATTTTTATTTTTATTTTTTTTTTAAAAAAAAGGGTTATATTTAAAATTATTAAAAGCTAATTTATGAAAAATCAGCACTATTATTATAATAAAAGTTGGAGATATGAGTTTATAACAAAGTTATTATAAAGTTGCATCTGGTATTGCTACAAAGTAAAGTTATTTTACTATTAATCTTTTTTCAACTTCTAAAATTTTAGAGCTTATTAGCAGTTGGATAGTTAAATTTTTATAAATACAATCTTATATTAGTAAATTTACAAAATTAATTCTAAATATACTTTTAAAATTATTTACAAAATAAATTAAAATTTTGTAGCAAACAAATATATAAGTATAATAATTTTAAAAAATAAATAAATATAATTTTTTTTTAAAACTTTGACAGTTTTATCAGTATTTTTATTAAACAGATAATCTATTTTGCATATAACAAGTTACATGTTTAAATTCAGATTTAGTGTTATTATTTACTTTGTAAGTGTCTAGATACAATCTGTTACACTATTTTACAGATAAAGTAGAAGACTTTGTTAGCTCTGTTAGGCAGCAATTTTAGATTTTTTTACCTAAATCTTGGCAGAATAGCTGTGTTAGCCTTATTCTCCATTCAATAGAAAAAAAACTAAAAAATATATAACAAGAAGGAGAAAAAAAAGGGATAAAAAAAAAGAGTAATTTAAAAAGAAAATAACTATATAATCTAAATAATAACCAAAATATAAAATAATAAAAATAAAAAAAAACAAAATTAGATTAGTTAAGAGCCAACAAAAAAATAAAAAATTTTATTAAACATGATGCACTATTATAATCTGTACTAGGTAATAAAAATTCTATAATACTTGACTCTATTATAGATATATCATCAGCAAAAATATATATGCGTAAACTTTCGTAAGTTTTTACGATGCATAAGAAAATTGTAAACTTATGTAAAATTTAGCGTAAAACTACATAAATTTTACGGAGCGTAAGAAAATCGTAAATTTACGTAAAAATTTTATGTTAGTTTACATAAATCTTACGCACCGTAAAAACTTACGAAAATTTATAGAAGTATATTGTTACAGAGTAAAGCCTTCTTAATTTACTCTATAACGACGACACGGCACAGGGAATCCTTTTGTAGGTATATGC